GGTTTTAGGCCATTAGGACTTATGATGGCTCAAATCACGCGGAATTTGAAGGGCTTTAAGAAGATGTAAAAATTAATTTGGAAAAGTCACTACCTTTTTTGGATGTCAAAAAAAACTTTTTTCGACGTTTGACGTTGTTTTCACCGAAAATTTCCGATATCTCGAGAACGGAATATAAAAAAAGCACCCCGGTGTTGAACCAAGGTACAATTTAGGTCATTGCACTTTTTTCGATATTGGTGACGGTTGAGGCTGTAGAGGTAGGTGCCCTTAGCCGCGAGTTTTGCGCGGTGCGAGGTGCGATATTATGCGGCGGGCGGCTCGCGTGCGGCCACGAGAACGTATGAGAGCTCAAAAGACGCGGAATTTGAAGATCTTTAAGAAGATGTAAAAATATTTTGGTTATTTTTTAATAATCTATAATAGCTACCTATTATAGATTTTTGATATTATAGATTCCTTTTCAATGCCCTTTCAAGTCATGTAGAGCACGAGATCTGTGATTTTTTATGTCAAAAAGGTGGCAAACAAACATATAGGCCTGCCTGATGGTATGCGGCCACCATAGCCATTAGACCATTACGATACCAAATCTATCATTCGCGTCGTTGCTTACTCTTACCCAATCGCTTACCACATGAAGCCCTGGAACCTTACTCACCGACAGAAACACAGCACCACCAAAAGGTAATATTATTTTACTGTGGTCTTGTGTAATGTGGTTAGTTCCCCGGACCAGACGGGCACTCCAATTCGAGAATCCATTATGCCCTGTCTCTTCGAATTAGAATCTGTATACGGCGTTAAAAAAAAGTATAATCAAATTATGGTTAACCTCATCTTATGTTTTTCGTAGTTGGTTTAATCCGGGGCTAAACTTTTATTGAGTCGTAATTTTTAGGATCAGCACTTAGGGTTAGGTACTTAGGACAATTTTATCTCTACGTGATGTACTCTAGATAAGTTTATCTGCAAACAAATTTTGAAATTATGTTATGTGCATCTCTTTTTTTATTTAAACAAAAGTACAGTAGCTGTTTTACCAATTACCTATTGGTTTAGTCCTCATCATCATCACTATAGTTGGTCAATGAAAGACTTCTTACTTTGTCACCCCCATGTTTTTTCAACGAATATAAATAACCCCATTTTTAGTTTGGTATTACCACGACTATGGGGTAGTTATACCAGGCAAGTATGATATTAAAGGAAGTTTGAATCACCATTGCATTTCACCCCTATGCAATTTACACAAAACAAGGGGGACAATACAAAACGATTCATGTGAATTTTCTTTAGTATCCCAGTATAGTTTAGTTAGGTCTATGTAATAAGGATGTGAAATACGTCCTTATATAAATTTTAATATACATAATAATTTGTGTTATTTTGTATCTTATTTTTACCAGAAAGCAACCAAAAGTATTTTCCATCTGTCTTATAAATTCTCGGCAATATGTTGGCCAAGAAAATAAAGGCTGTACGGAAAAAAGATTGATACTAAAATTTTGTACAAAGCAGCAACATCAATCACGGTGCCGTAACTGAAGACATTGCTTGGGAAAAGCCGAGCCTCAGTTTATACGGGGCTCAAACCTATCGTATACTATAAAAGCGCTCTACGCATTAGGAGGGTTGGTAGCGGGAGCTCTATAGCTTTCCTGTTTGCCTGGTACTGTGTGTTGCGATAACATGTGACTATTGGACACGTGTGGTGGAGCTGTACAATACAAAAGTGTGTGTGAGATTCACCGTAAATTAATTTTTTATTCGCTTACATTTCTGAGGCTTTAATTTATCAATATGCTGCCACTTTACCTATAAAGTAAAGTACTACGAAGTTGCTAAATTCAGGTCTTAATTACTCATTTATTTTTGATGTGTAACATCTTTCCTCTCGCTTTCCTGCAATTTGTGGGAGTGATTTCGTGAAATTGACGGAAGTGTGTAACAGGAAGTCGCGAAAGCGCGCGCTATTTAATTTGATTTTAGAGCATAATGTTCTAATGGCTTATTCCTTTTATAGTAGGTTTTATTTCTTTTTTTACTAATATAAGGCGAGGTTTAAATGTTACACATCATACGCGACTACTGTAAGGCGCGCTCGTTTTTTTCTAAGTGATGATAGTTTCTCCTATTAAAAATAATGAAAAACCGTTTTGATATAAATATAGTAAATTAACAATGTTATTTAAAATACCCCTTGTCTTCGTCCGTTAATCACGTAATACTCAAAAAGTGAAAAGCCTAACGGAGTTTCCGCTCGAATTAGTGCGCTTGTCCAGAGAAGCAACTCCACCTTACAGAAGACCACAGTAAAATAACACTACCTTTTGCTGGTGCTGTGTTTCTGCCGGTGAGTTCCAGATTCCAGGGCCCCACGGGGTAGAGGATTGAGACCCCGTTGAGCTGATCGAATCGGATTTAGGGGGTGGACAGAATTAGGGGAGAGGAGTCTCACATAACCACGTCACTATACCCAGCAGCGAAGTATTCGTCAATCATTTTATTTGGGTGAAAAAAGGCAACAATGCGAGTGATATTTCTTTTATCGGAAGCATCTACACTTTGGTGGCCGCTTTACATCAGGCTGACAAAGCGCTTGTTTGCCTTTAAAATTACCAAATAGTACATATCAAGTCAAAAAACCTATTTTAACATTTTTTTCTGGCGTCCCATTCATTGTAACTGGCATAACAAGTCCCAGAAACGTAGCTTGTTAGCTAGCTATTTTCCGTGTTCTTTGCTCGCGCCATTGTCGTAGGAGGTACACAAAAGGCTTGGGCACCAGGAGCACAGGGGCTATACAGAGATTGACCGATCGCGCAAATTGAATGTTCGTAGAACATGGCACGGACAACGGCCCATTGTGCCGCTGGCTTTTCAAGATACAGCTAATATTTCAGTGTGTCACAAAACGTTCGGTCTTGGTAAAGCTCTGAGAAAACATCGGACGGTCCGGGTATTCACGGTAAATCATGTGTGAACTGGATGACTTACCGAAGAGGTTAATCTATTGCTTACTGCATAAATAAAATCACTATAATCTTCCCAGGTATTCCTAATTCTTTAATTTCAAAACTTGGCAAGATTCTCTTCATTTACATTTTTGCAAACTTCAAATAAGTTTAAAATTTTAAAATACCTTGCTAGCTAATAATTTATGTTTAAGCTAGCATCTGGCAGTTTAATACTGCTTGATTTTTATATGTAAGGATTTAATCGCAACTGCTCTTAAAATCATCATTGGATTAATCGGGAACTTTGTCGTGCGGAGTCTTTTGGAATCTACGGTATTAAAAGCTATTGAAGTTAGAGTACGGCGACACTGAATTTATCGCAATCACGAAATATAATAGTACCTGTAGTTAGTCTATGGTATCATATGTTCCAGTCACGGCATAAATTTTGTAGTAGAAGGAAATATCTCATCATCATCATCATCACCAGCCTATTAATGTCCCCACTGCTGGGGCACAGACTTTCCTTATGGATTTATGGATGGAAAAGGGAGATTGGGCTATGACCCACCACGCGGGCACAGTGCGGATTGGTGGGTGCTAACGACTACAGATGCATCCGGGACAAACGGCTTAACGTGCCTTCCGAAGCACGGAGGAGCTTGAGACAGTAAATTTTTGGTCACCCCTCCTATGACCGACCACTGCGAAAGTTGCTTAACTTCTACGATCGCAGCCAAACGCGCTAACCACTTGCGCTATCGAGCTCCTCATTATATTATTCAATATGAAATATTTATTTTTTGATGCTATCTCCCCTTAACATATTAATGTATCTGATAACTACATTTACTAACATATTTTTGAAAAACATTACCTTTTTACGATTAACTGAATCGATAGAATACTAATATAAAAATATTTTATGCTCAGTTTCATAAATTTATGAAAAGCTTTCTTATTGCGCTAAAAGTTCGCAATCTGTTAAAATTGGATGGAGGTGAAAAAATATGTTTTATAGAAACATTTTATGAATTATTCAAAATATCATACCCCTTTTGGAAATACTGATTAACTTCTTAACAATATGATGGCGCTGAGAGAGAATTTGATGAATTACTCGCGATTGTTACAGCACCCGGTTCTGACAATGCGAGTACCTACGTGTTGGTATTGTGAGGACCAGTGAAAACGATGTCTATTCCCAATACTCCCATCCATTGTACCTGGCCCTGAATGAGCTTCGTTAATCTCCACACACACTGAAATCACTACGGAACATTGGAACGCCGCGCCGCATCTTCGGCTACCGAATTAGCTTTTATATCTTCCGAGATTACAATCCGGCCCTCGCAAGGCTTGGATTGAAAAAAACGTATATCATCCTGTTGTCTTGTCACGTAGTACATGGTAATGTGCGGATTTCTTTCTTTCCGTTTGCTTTTTAACTTTTCTTTGTATCCGATAAATCTTGAAATTAAAACGCAAAGAACTATATTACAGTCGTTACAATTTTAATGATTGGAACAGAGATAGTAGCAACTTTGCGGTTATTTTTGAATAACATACACCATGACTTTTTGTCAAGACGCACCACGATCATCAGCCGATGGACGTCCACTGCTGGACATAGGCTCTCTCAGGGTTTTCCAAGCACAACGGTCCTGCGCTTTTCGCAGTCAGTGGGTCCCCCCGACTCGTTTGATGTCGTCAGTCCACCTGTGTGGGGTCTACCGACACTGCACTTCCCGTTGTGAGGTGGGACGTTGAAGCACCTTGGGACACACAGAACCGTAATAAATGCACTCTCATATATCTCTTAGTGCCACTGTCCATGCATGTGTTGCAGCTCTGTCGACAGAGTGACATAGTTTTGTATGTTATCTGCAAGCAGGCATACACTAAGCATATAATGCTGAATACGCGTCTATGAAGCTACTTCTCCGTGGACGGTGGCTCTTAGTAGTAGCACTTTGTTTTATACAATGTAGTGATGGCGTAATTGTCTGTTGTTCGCAGCTAGTGGGCGGGGAGTTCGACATGGAGCTGAACTTCGTGATCCAGGACGCGCAGAACATACAGCACATGCTGGAGCTTCTGGACCACTGCCCACCCAGTTTGCAGGTAACTGAATACCATATTTTATCATCATTAACTAAAAAACGTAGAACTTATAAAAAGGCGGGTAAACCTTGTCCTTCAGAGCCGGCACCGCATGAGTAGTACCCTTGGTGCTGCAAGTGTTCATGGGCGACAGTGACCACTTACCATCAGGTACACTGTCAGCTCTATTGCCTGCTTATATATAACTATGTTACTATATAACTTACCTATGTTAAAAAATGCCACAAAGTGAAACAAAAGTTTTGACATGTTAATCTATGCTTAAACCAATTTGCCTATTTTTCTAGTAGAACTTTTCTAAGATATAAAAGTCAAGCACTAAACTGCTGGTGTTGTAAAATATAATGAAATTTCTTGTGATATTTTTTTATATTTTTATAGTTACTTGGGCTATAAAAATATAAAAAAATATAATAAATAAATAATTATAGGGCTCGATAGCGGTTAGCGCATACTTTTTCCAATTTTGGAAGTCAAACTCAAGATAAAAATAAATATGTTTTATTGACCAAAACAATCAGTACAAAATAATTTTATAATAACCTGAGAGCATTACTATAACAAATATTATAATTTATTAGCCTCGGCTGCCGAAATAGGCAAAGCTTGTACTTCAGCATTCAGCGGCATAAACCCTTAAGGAGATACAAGAATACTATATGAGACAAACTAAATATCTAACAAACGAAAAGGTCAACAAAGAAGCAATACATTTTAAAGTAAAGCTTGAAATATCTTTATTCAAATTAGATGCATAGAAGGTACAACTCTTGATTCATCCGAATTTGTTTTCATTCTACTCGTTAGGATATTTATTTATGATATTAATGCGGTAAGTTGGTTATTACAAACGTCTGACGACCATAGTAAAGAGTTTGTAATTACCAATTCCACACGAAAAAAGAAAATGCGCCATATGGAAATACGCGTTATTTACTGATTTAAAAAAATGTTTGCTATAATTGCATTAATTAAAAACACATTACATTTTTTTAAATCAGTAAATGACGCGTATTTCCAAATGGCGCAATTTCTTTGAAGTATTTAACTCAGACAAAGGTATAGATTAAAAGCGCTTCCATGGAGGTTCGATAGAAATTTAAAAAAACCCTAAAGGATACGCACGGGCGCCATGTAAGGGAGTGTGCGGTAAAATGTTTAATGTTTCAGTTGTATGGCCTGTAATTTTGAGCTTTCGAACAATGTATACAACCTCCGTAAATGAAGTTTTTGACCAAATGTGTTGAAAATATTTTAACATGAAGTTTTTTTTTCCTAAATGGCTTCGCACGGATTGTGCATTTAGCTAATGTCAAGTGTTAAAATGTTTACAAATTCTACACTCGTGGTCAAAGTAATAAATCAAGTCAAAGTAAGTGGCAGTCAAGTCAATCCACCTTTCCCTATTTCAGTAAATGTGTGGGGATTTACTGGAACCTCCCCGTGGACTTCTTGAGGGAATGTCGAAAGACACTTTCCGCTATTTTGTTTTGCTTGCCAACACTTGTGCATATTCCCGAACACTTAGTGGTTAATAATCCACCATTATTAGACACTAACATCCGCCCACAACACAATTTTTAACAAGAAAAACAAAACTGCTAAAGTGACGCTTTCCGATCCCGCCAAAAGTTCTAACATGAAGTTAAGCAGCATGTGCAATGTTAGGCTTCTCCCACACCTGCGCGACGAAGCTTTGGTACTAAAATGCGCTAAAATAAGTGTTCGAAATTCGAATTAGTTCCAATAATGCGTATAGTCCTTCAGCTGCACAATGCACATACAAATTTGTCGAAAGCAATAGGCAGTCAGGCTGTCGTACGTGCCAATTCGCACTGGGTCCGCTTTGTACGTGGCTGCCCTTTCTCAGTATAATTGAAATATAATATCCACAGACAGCTGACATATTAAGGGTAAATTAATGTTATACAAAAACCGGGCAAGTGCGAGTCGGACTCGCGCACCGAGATTTCCGTGCAAACCTGTAGGTATGTAAGTAAAAATTCACCCATCACGACAATCGAGTCATAGGGTCAGTATTTTTTATTATATGATGTAACTAAAAATTTACCGTTTTCGCAATTTTTCCTTTATCTGTACTACAAGACATTATTTCGTACCAAGTTTCAAGATTCTGACCCTGCAGGTTTCGATTCCCGTGCGAGTTTCGAAAATTTGCGGCATAAACGGCTGTATCTTTTGATTGCTTTGGCTTAGAAGTTTGATTTTTTCATAGCTCCAAGGGACAGTAGACCTGAATATTAGATATGAATTTTAGTTTGATACCTTCACGCGTTCCTGAGAAAAACGGTCTTGACAGACGGACGGACGGACGGACAACAAAGTGATCCTATAAGGGTTCTGTTTTTTCCTTTTGAGGTACGGAACCCTTATAACAAAAAGCGTTTCAAGAAAGGTACTTATAAAAATGCATCGCCAGGTCACCACTAATATGACGCCGCCCCGCCCATGTCTTATTTATGGTTATGTACGCGCTTGAAAGAGACGGCTATATGAATGCATCCTCATTACTGTGTCACTTTTTATGGATGGCGGTGTGGGGCAGGTACTATTTTTTTTTTGTCTTTAGGATACCGCCTATTCTTTATAGTACCCTGGTAATAAAGTAGATCAAACTAACCCTTTGGTTATTTTGGAATCAGTTTTTTTACTAATTCGTTCTCCACCCAATAAGATGAATGAAATGCTTCGATCAACAATTCTATAGATAACGGATTGCGTACAAAATCAAAGCTAACCCTTAATTGCTCCGAGCTAAAAACTGTCCGTATGTTTAAACTTATGCAGCTACATTCGATTCCCTGTGAACAAAGATGAAGGTTTTAAAACAGTTTAAGTTGCACTTATAACAACTATCTCACAAAGGAATAAGGTTACAAATAACAAAATGTTGTTTCGTACATACGACCTTTTATCATGAAACGAACTGTTGTTCCTTTTATAAGTTTTATCTGGTACTTGGAAAAAAACGATAAAGGTGAAAAAATGAAAACGTGAAATGAACCTTATGACCCACAAAATAAAATATTTTTACCAGTCATTGGCCAGCGAGTTACTTCGTTTTGTATTAACCGAAGTAATTTAAAATAAGTCCTCAGGCTTCAAGTGAAGCTATATTTACCGAGACTCATTTAGGAATTCATTTTTGTATACACTCCAGCCGATCTAGCTACCATCGAAGTTATCACACTTAATCCATCAGCTACTTCCACATGGAGTACAAAGATTAACTTTCAAACTGACAGTGCGACCAAGATCTTTATGAATGTGTGTGACAGTTCAGGGAGGGCGCCACTGTCTACGTGGCCGAAAATGACATACAAAACTCCAATTTTCGCCACATTCATTAAGATCTTGGTCGCACTGTTAGTCTTGTTCTATTTTAAGCTTTACATCCTTTAGACATGGTAATATTATCTATACAGTATTGTGACTCGGCCCTGTCCATGAAATAAATGCCTACGGCCGAGCGCTGCGTTACACGCGGTAGTGCCGCCCGCCTACAGTATTTTAATTTCATCTACATAATTGAGTTTCTTTCTAGTTTTGTGATTGTAAATATTTTATTTTATATGTAAAGATTCTCCGCTAGCCCATATACCCATATCGTAGGAATGCATTAAAAATAACTATTCCGCCATGTTGGATTTAGAATGACGTCACACAGCTAACCGTGTATATACAAAATTTCAGCTCAACCGGTTGAAGATAATCTCTATTTTTTTATTTTCCTGCTATCAATTCCTGTCAACAATCTGTCTCTTTTCCAAATTACCTAATAAGCTGCCAGTATACACCAAAATATCCGATAACTACAATACCTACCATTTATTACTCTCGTAAATTATTTCATAATGATATTTAATTTAATTCAATAATGTATGTAGTTTAGTTATTCAATAATGTATGTAGTTAAGTAAGTAGATAGCCTAGTCTAGGAAACTACCTACCTATTATGTAGTTTTGTTTTTAACGTGAGTCTCGTTTGTCTCTTTTTTCACCCTATCCACTTATTTATATATTATTCCGGATATTTTGCCCGATGGAAAAATCGAAATACCTAAATATTAAAAACAAATTACGTACTAGTAGATAGGTATATAAAACATATCCTATAGTCTTACCCTTCCAATATTTCAGGTAATTTAAAAAATGGTATCTCTTGGGTGGGTTATTAAAGAGTTCAAGCAACCAAAAACAGCACAATATCGTCGTTTGTTCTTTGCCATATTAAATTATGTAGGTATCTACTTAATTCAATCAAATATTTACAATACAAAACGCACGTTTAGGCACGGCTAACTGCATAAAAAACAATTCACACCGTTCGGTCGTCGCTGCGGCGTATTCGCGACTGGGTGTGCCCCGAGATTCCGCCGAACTCGAGTGGCGTAGGTATGATTCGCTTTCCGACCGTTTGTATGAAGATAGAATACTGTATATATTATTCCACCAAAAACATTCTGTAAAAAACTAGCTAAGTCTCGATGGAACTGCTTTGTTTATCTCTAAAAAGTAATTAAATCTAGACAAAGTCGTGCCAAGTCTAAGGTTCTTTACTGCGATTTCTTTATTATTATAGTTATTTTTGTGTGACTTGGCCGTTGTAGGATACACAAGGGTACAAAACCAGGTGCTACCAAGTTGAATATTTTTTGTAAAGGCGGTATGTCGATCTCTTCTAATAGTTTGGTTGGGCTCTTGTGTTTTCTAATCAGGGTCACCAGGTACTCCAGATCTTCGATTATCCTAGTTTTTATAGTTTTCCCTTTATGTGGTTTTTAAACCCTAACTCTGTACCAAATTTCAGCTCTCTGAGTTTATGGGAAGTACTACTTCTATTCTGATGATCATGAGTGAGTGAGTGTCGTAAATGCGAAACTTTGCTTTCGCTTAACTTCGGAACTAAATGACCTACAGACTTGAAATTTTGGATTTTAGTTATGTTTTTATAGCTTATTGGATGACGAAAATTTCAGTGTTCTGATCTTATCCAGAGGTTCTCAAATAGGGCCCTGAAAATGCGGCGAAATGGTTCCAGTAAAGGATGGTACGGCAGTCTTTGCTTCGCGCTCGACTTGTCGGGGGCACTGCTGTGCCCCCCGATTACCGTGCTTTAGATATGTTATAAATTTTATTGAGATTTCATCAAAAATTGCCTAGACGAGAAATAAGTCCAATCGAATACTAGGATATCAGAAAAACAATGGCGGTGCATTGTAAATGAGAGAACACTCAATACTGACGTTCTCGCGGTGTGCATACATATCAAGTGCATAGCAATGGGTTGAGCGCGCTTGCAGAAACGGTAGATTAATAATGCAATAGTCAATTTCATGTTGGTCTATGTGTTACACCCTTGTGCTATTCGGTGC